TTTGTTTTTAAAAGAATATTGATAAGATGGAGAATGTTGATAAGAAGGAGAGAGAAATCAAAAATGAAAAATAAAAAGAGAATGTTGAGGAGGAGGAAAGAGAAATCAAAACTTTTAGTTAGGATGGCAATTCAGTAAATAAGTGGAATAAGTGAGGGTGGGAGAGTATAAACAGTCACCCAAAGTCCATCATGAACTCATAAGTGTGTCATAGAGCAATTAAAGTTTTGAAAGTGTGTCTAGATGGAAATTTCCCATATATTTATAGTGAGGCATGATTTAATTGCGATAGTAAACGAGATAAAACCATCTGTTTAGAAAAAGAGGTAGGAGCAATATATTAACTATTATTAGTGTAGATTTCATTAAATTTTTGGTGAAATATCTGAATAAAATTTAGATTTTTACCCAATTATGTACAATTTCCTAAATGCCCCCCACTAATTCATTTTTTCTTATTTGTTGTGATATCATCAATTATAATTATTTTTCTATACTTTAATGATGCACTAGGAACTATCCAACAAACTTAGACACGCAGCTCAAGCTGATAAGGATGCTGAACTCAGGAACAAAAGAACTAGGGGTTATTATGACTAATAAAATGAATTTATTTGGCATGACATTTTTTTAGTGATAAAATATAACATTTAAATTTCAATACCAAAAATAATATGTAAATCATATTAAATAAATATAAATAATACCTTGGTTAGTATTGAAAATTTAACAAAAAAAAATAGTTTGTACGAAAATTCACAAATAACATCACAAAAATCAAATAACAGTTTACCAAAGCAATTATCATCAAGTAATCAAAACTCACACACACATATATCTATATATATATATGCTCATTTTTCCATCCTTATTTTTGTGTATTCACATAAAATTACATGCAATAAAATCTTAAAATATAAACATGCAAAACTATAATACTACATATTCTCATCAAGTATACAAGTTTTAACGTGCACCTCTCGCACCTCTAACAGCTTGGGCATCAAGGTCAACTAGATTATGTTATGTATGCTTATATGGAATTAGATTATATCATGTATTTTTATGCATATCAATCTTCCCGCCTTTCGACGTGCACTTAAAAGGTTACCTAATTTTACTTGAATTTTGGTTGCTTTCTTTTTTGTATTGTGATATTAAATTTAACCAACTTAAACTTTCGTATTTTCTAAAATATTTATTGATCCTCTTTCGAAAATGAAGTTATGAAATGTGAGAAGGATCAGTAAAAATTGTAGTATTTGGGTAAATAATTCAGACTAGTATTCAATTTTTACTCGAATACTAATTTTTATATTAATGTAATTTTTCTAATGTAGGTTAGTATTTGGGTAAATAATTCAGACTAATATTCAAAAATTAATGTAATTGATCAAAAATAATTGAAATGTTAGTAATAACATATACACATTTTTAGATTTATCTTTGAGCCTAACATATTTATTTTTTCAATACAATTTAAGTGTATATACCATCATAATAAAGATAATTTTATTTTTATACATTTTGTATTAATGCATGAGAGCTAAAAAAACATTTATATCAAAATTCAAACACAATTTAAAATTATTAAATTTATGTTCTAGTTAGAACTAAAAAAATTAAATTTAACAAAACACAAATAGTAAAAAAAAAAATTCACAAAACAAATAATGGAAACTAGAATCATTTAAGATTTCTTCGAGATGTCGTTATCTCATAAGTACTAATTTTACCTTATGTCAAAAAAGTTATGCAGTTAAAATTTATAAAATAAAATCTAAACAGAGACATACAAACATTCTCAACAAATAAAGGAAGATTCATACCCATACAAATATTTTTATTTTATGTTTTCATGTATGCATTATAAATACTACATGTGTTAAAATTCTAAAAATTATAACAATAAATAAAATTTTAGTGTTATTTTATATCAAAAATTCATCTCCACAAACTCATACATATTTCAATTTTTTTATTTTTCCCCTAATAAATAAAAGACAATATATTGCAACGATAACTAGAATATCTTCTTGCTAAATTTGGTTGTCTATATAGTAATTTCTTATGTACGGGTGTTTGTACACCTCGGTGGCTGCAGTATCAATTGTATCATGACTATATTAATTCTTAATCAATAAAGTTATTGGTTGAAAAAAAATACTACAATTTTTATCCAATATAATTGATGTTAAATAGTTTATATTTTTATTTTGAACATCAGTGTGCAATGTACATTGTCAACATCTTATCAATATACATAACTCATATTCGGACCACGTTAACATTAATTTTTGATTTAGCTTTATATAATAAGATTTGATATTTTTAAATAATTTCTTTATATACACACTACATTTATTTTCTACTCTTATTTCATTTAATTTTTATTTAATATTGTTAGTAAATCAAATGTAATTAGAGGGAAAACTCTAAATGTTGACCATATCTTTCTTTTGACCAAATCTTCATTTTAATGGGAAAGTTTCATTTTATTTCTCAATAAATAGTTTTTTGATTTCAGAAGTTTGACTCTTTTATATATATAGATTTATATAGGACCATTTATATATATAAGACTCATGTTGTTCTTCTCATTTTTAATATCTTCACACACCCAAAAACAACAAAACTTGGATTATTTCAAAAGTTTATATCATTCAAACGAAATGATTCTGTCAAAGTTTCAACTTGCAACAGTACTTCTCATCATATGTTCACTCCTAGTTACTTCCGAGTCAAAGAGTAAACATTTCATTTTCATTACTCTCTTTTCTTTAAGATGTCAATAGTCAAGTCATTATGCAATATGCACTTATATTTTTGGTGAAACTTATTTGAAGTGTTGAAGAATGAAGAAATCTCTGGTGGAGGGTCTTGTAACTTCAGAGGTTCATGCCACAATGACAGCAACTGTGAGGAACGTTGTGGACCGCCCGAGTTCCCATCGTATACTATAGGTTTATGCATACCGAATCCCGATGGTCCTGGCCGTGCTTGTTGTTGTGTTTTTGGTTGATTCAGTTCCTCCAATGAATCCAAAGTAATTCTAAGTTTTGGTTTGATGTTGTATTTGTTTTTATCACTACATAAGTATCAATAAAACCAAAGTTCAGTTACCTCTTATATATGTTATATGAGTTTTTCTTATGAAAATAAACACTGAAGAAAATGCTTTATGCTGCAATTGCTTCTCCTGTTAGCAAAGAGTCTGATGGGTTTTCTGATGAACTAGTGTGTGTGATGACTTCATCCAATAACTTCAAGAGCTCTGCTCGACGGAGATCTGTCACCGTATACTCAAGTGTAACCTGTCAGGTTAAAGAAACTCAGTTTAGTTTAAGCCAAAAGGAACAATTTTGTTTGAGTGTTATAAAGTAGTATAACTACTTTTACCTCTTTGAAGATACTGCTGTAAGAAGACTCCTCAAAACCCTTTAACAAACAACAAAGTGTGTTAAGCCATTTTACTCGGAAAATTTGTGCACGGGACGGACTACGACATATCTTTGAGACGTGAGTAAGTTTTATAGTACCAGTTTGCGGAATAAGCTGAGGGAAGCTGTGTTTGAGTCCCCAATCTTGACTGTAAACTTGTGAATCTCCAAGTTTTTGACACCATAAGCCATCATTATCAATACGGATTCCTTTCCTAGTCCTTTACCACGGCTACTCTACCAAAGGTTGTAACAAAGAAAGAAGAATCATGTAACGAGAAGTTAAATCAGTTTAAGTGTATTCTCAGTATATAGCACTTGTCTGGGAAGAAGAAAGTTACCTTCTGGGTTCAGCTATCATTATTTCAACCTCTGCAACCTTACGATCATCCACATCATTCATGTAAATATTCACATCACCTGTCATTGCTGCACATAAGCTTTGTGTTAGTGTTACTTATTTACAATGACTCAATGCGAAAACGATATACACAGAAGAGCCACAATAGAACATCCAAGCTCATCTAACTCTTTCAACCAAAAAAGGAAGAAGGAAGAACTCATAAAGCCAAACTAGTCACCAATGATCTTAACCACTAACAAAGGAGCAGTCTTGTAGATACATTCTCATTTCCAGACATACTATACACACTTTGTGGTAAGAACACCACTACATTATTAACTAAAAGGAGAGAGTGTTGTATTGTCACAGTAGCAGATTCCATACTGATGCATACTAAAGTAATCTCCTTTAACCATAAGTTCCACAACGAAATAACTCAGGACACTAACCTTCTACATGCGGCTCGCCATGAGCCAAGTCTCCCTTTATAAAATCCTTGTCCAACACAATGAAAGTCCTCTCTGAAACCAACAACAGAGACATTAGAAAATCCAACATTTGCAAAAAGAGGACAGACCTAAACCTCATAAGACATTGTATAGCTAATATCAAAGAACTTAGAGGATTGGAGTAATCAACTTCACTAAACAATACTAAAGATCAACAAACTCAAAACAGAAGCAATCAAAATTGAGATTCTAGGGTAGTCTAAAAGAAAACCCTAAACCCTAAATTAAGTAAACCTAAAATTGATCAAATCAAAGATAAAGATAGAAGATTTAAGAGATATATGAGAATGGTTTAGAGTTTTTTTCATACTATTAGGATCTTGAGTCCAAGAAAGCTGCATCTCATACTCCTGCTCAAGACTCAACGGCTCAGATCCAGTAGCTTCAAGAAGCGCCGAGTCTTGCATCCAGTTATGATACTTTGGAACATGCTCCGCCATGTACGGAACCAAAACCACTCTCTTCCCTTCCAAAGTCACCTTCATCGCCATTGTTGTCACCATTCTTCTTCTCCTCTTCCTCTTCTTTAGAGAGGAATCAGAAACAAAAAACGTCGTCGTTTCAATTTATCCGAGCTGGCATGTTTTATCCACGTCAGGTTTTATGATAAAAAAAAGATGTCCCAAATATTACACAACCAACCAACTGTGTTTTGTAGTGTTGTGGTGAGTGATGAGTTTCACTTAGCTTCAAAGCAAAGACTTCCATGAAAAATCATAATTTCTCAACTCATAAAGATATAAAATACAAAAAGGCGTCACTGATGTTTTTGTAGCAATCATATTTTCTTAACTTTCACTACACATATAAAAAGCCCAATTCTATTAACTAGAAAAAAAAAAACAGAGATGATCAAAAACAATGGCGACTTTGATTCTAACATTCTTGCTTCTTCTTTTAGCAACAAAGCTTCCGGAATCACTAGCAGGTCACTGCACCACCACGACGGCGACGAAAAGCTTCGAGAAATGCATCTCTCTCCCGACACAGCAAGCTTCAATCGCGTGGACGTACCATCCACACAACGCTACTCTTGACCTTTGTTTCTTTGGAACTTTCATCTCACCTTCCGGGTGGGTTGGGTGGGGGATTAACCCGGATTCTCCCGCGCAGATGACTGGTTCTCGGGTGCTCATCGCCTTTCCGGATCCGAATTCCGGTCAGCTCATTCTCCTTCCTTATGTTCTTGACTCCTCTGTTAAGCTCCAGAAGTCTCCTCTGCTTTCTCGTCCGCTTGATCACATCCGTCTCTCTTCCTCCTCTGCTTCCCTCTATGGTGGTAAAATGGCTACCATCCGAAATGGCGCTTCTGTTCAGATTTACGCCTCGGTAAAGCTCTCTTCGAACAATACCAAGATCCACCATATTTGGAATAGAGGGCTTTATGTCCAAGGTTACTCTCCTACTATTCATCCCACTACTTCCATCGATCTCTCCTCCTTCTCAACCTTTGATGTCACTTCAGGTATCCAAATACTTTCTCAATATCTAACAAATGCAAAATAAATCACATCAAGTTTTGTTTTTATACAGTTTTGTTTCTACAGGATTTGCAACGGTTAACCGAAACAGCGGTTCTAGAGCTTTGAAAGTGACTCACGGAGTACTAAACGCGGTGGCATGGGGCTTTCTCCTCCCGGCAGGAGCAGTAACAGCTCGATACCTTCGCCAAATGCAATCAATCGGACCAACTTGGTTCTACATTCACGCAGCCATACAGCTAACCGGTTTCCTCCTTGGAACCATTGGTTTCTCCATTGGGATCGTGCTCGGCCGAAATTCTCCAGGAGTGACCTACGGGTTACATAGGAGCCTCGGGATAGCTACGTTCACTGCAGCTGCACTACAGACGCTGGCTTTACTGTTCAGACCAAAGACGACCAACAAGTTCCGGAGATACTGGAAGTCTTACCATCATTTTGTCGGGTACGCGTGTGTGGTGATGGGTGTGGTGAACGTGTTCCAAGGGTTCGAGGTTTTGAGGGAAGGAGGATCATACGCGAAGCTTGGTTATTGTATGTGTTTGGCGACGTTGATTGGTGTCTGCGTAGCCATGGAAGTGAACTCATGGGTTGTGTTTTGTCGCAAGGCTAAAGAAGAGACGATGAAGAGAGATGGTTTGGCTGAAGATAGATGCAGCAGTGGGATTCATAGTTAGGTCTTGAGTCCTAATTATAAGAAAGACAGAGAGAGAGACGGTACACCTTTTATATATCCTTGCTTAGCACCTAAAAAAATCTCATGTACAATGTACATTTTTTAGGTGTTCCATCACTGTTCATATAAGATCTAGATCTTGATTTTGTTATGTTTCAATATGCTAAAAGATCAGATATGAGTGTTTTTTCACATAATTTATGGACAGTATAGGATCGGGTTCAAAGTTGACTTACCTTAAAGTTGTGGATCCATTAATTGCATCATATGGAGATATCAGACGTAGAGATATAAACCAATTAGTACACAGAACAATCCACTTTGGTCTGGCTATTTGAAAGATATTACATGAACACCTTTTAAGATAACTACAAAAAAACCATAAACATCAAGACAAAGATGCAAATAGATTATGGCAGAAATCGACATATGTATTATTCGAATTTATGAAAGATCATTTGGATTCAGAATAAATACTCAAAAACATGTACTAAGCGGCTGGCTCATGAAGATTGTGCATTATATAAATGGTATCTACTACTTTACCTTAAAGATTGACAAAGAAAATTCATGACAACTCAAGAAACTCCCAGCCCATAAGTGTCACAGGAGAGAGAGTCTGGTTTCAGAAATATGGCAGTCAAAATTACACACGAATGCAACCATCCTCAAAGTGACCTGTGTACCTAGCCATCAAAATTAAGTAAGTTGAACCTAACAGTAGCAGATATGCAAATACAACATTTCAGTCTGCATATGCTGAGAGGGTTCTTCACCAGTTGCAACGAGGTTTTTGCAAGCTACGAAACAGAACTAGAACATAAAAAATCATTCTAATTTCTTGAAAACGTATACTTGCTTCTTTCAATACATGAGATCTTAGAATACATACAACTCAAGCTTCGAAAACAAGAACCGACTCTATGAGTAGCTCTCTGGTTTCCTATTCTTTACATCAAGAGGACAGTAAGAATACTCACATTATGCTTCAGGAAACTAACTGGAGCATCTTGGTCACCAATTCCAAAGAATAGCTCTGAGAAGCCCTGCATGTCTATGTATTTGCAGCTCCCGCAAGAAGTCAATTAAAAATCAACCACAACTACTTTCTTTTGTTGATCTATAATAAATTCTTTAAGGCTTTATCAATGATTCTAAGAAACCTTTATGACTGAAGCTTGAGTAACAAATATTTCTGTTCGAGCTCTACAGTTAATTCTCCTCACCGTCGCCACGCTATCAGGCACACATACTGAGGCATGAACGTCACATATCAGTAACATGTTCCATTGTCTCACAGGTTGAAATTATTATATTTGGCTAACTCCCATATAACCATCGTATCCATTATCTTTCATCATCTGCCTGACTCTAACTACGTCGTCCCACATTGCTTCTGCTGCATATAAGTTTGACATCAATACGTATAGCCCTCCATTCCTGTAATCCAACATAAACATTTTCTTAGCTACATACTCCCCAACCTCTAACTCTCTGTGAACAATGCACGCGCTAAGCAAAGCACCCCATACTGCAGAATCAGGCTTTATATTTATCTCCCAGATTAAATACAATGCCTCAGTAAACAAACATGCTCTACCCAACAAACCAACTATAAGAGCATAATGCTGTAAGCTTGGCGATATTCCAAACTCTTTGATCATTGCTCTGAAACATGTTTTTCCTTCATCGACAAAGCCGCCATGGGCACATGCAGACAGAACCCCCAAAAAGGTGATCTTGTCAGGTTTCAACCCCTTCTCTCGCATTTCCAAGTAACAGGAAAGAGCTCGCTTTTGTAACCCCGATAAGCTGTATCCTGATATCATTGAGTTCCATGTTGCTGTGCATGGAGCTTTTATGCTCTTGAACACACTTTCTGCTAATTCTGCATCCCCACATTTAGCATACATGTCTATAAGAGCAGTGCAAACAAAGTTCTCATTTTCAATATTGTTCCTAAGAGTATAACTATGAAGTTCCTTCCCCAAATGCAAGTTACAGAGCTGGGAACAGCCAGCAAGCAAACTCGCTATCGTAATGGCATCCGGCAAAGGTTCGCCACTTAACTTCATCTGATGGAACACCTCAAATGCTGTCCTTGCTCTACCAGACTGAACACACCCAGATATCACTGAGTTCCAGCTAATAAGAGGAGTCTCATGCAGTTGCTGAAATAAAAACATGAAAGTCTCCACATCATCAAACTTAGAATACATAGTTATCAGTCCATTCACAACCAGTGTTTTTGTGCACAATCCGCTTTTGATCGCGTAACCATGTAACGACATCCCTATATCGATATGGGAAGAGTTTGTACATCCATGGAGAATTCCAACCAAAGCTACAGCATCAATTTTCATACACAGCTGACACATTTTAGAAAAGTAAACAACCGCTCTGTCCATATCTCCTTTCTCAGCATAGCTTGAAACAATCGAAGTTAGACCAACAATACTATCTTGGTTAGCAGACGCGTAAAGACACTCTGCTGAATCCGAATCCCAACACCTTGAATATGCACAAACCAAAGAAGTAATCACAGAGTTATCGTTCACCATTCCACGTTTAACAACAAGACAATGTAATGGCTCGTGACTAACATGAGCTGAAAGAAGACTGATGATAGTGACTGGACTAATCTCCACGTTCTTCTCAACCATGTTCTTGAAAACAGAGATGGCCTTGTCCTGTAACCCACTCTGGCTATAAGCACCAATCATTGTGTTCCAAGAAACTGTGCTTTTGTCTCTCATATCTCTAAACAATACTTCTGCTGATTCCAACTCTGAACACTTTGAATAAAAAGAAATTAACGCATTTTTCACCTGAGAATCTAGTTCAAGACCAGACTTTGCAGCAACACCATGAACAGACCTCCCTTGTGAAACAAACCCACATTGTCCACAAAAAGGCAGCAAATTCCCAAGTGTAGTAGCAGAAGGAGCAAAGCCTTGCTGAAGCATTACAATAAAGAGCTTCCAAGCATCAGATTCATAACCATTTCGCGAGTACCCACAAATCAACGCATTCCAAACAACGGTATCTCTCTCAGACATTTCGTCGAACAACACTCGTGCGCTCGTCACATAACCCATTTTTAAGTGCAAGTCAAGAAGAGATGTTTTCACGTAAACAAACCGATCAAGACCTGATTTTGCGAGATGGGTTTGTACTTGTGTGACTTGTAACTTGAAAGAATCAAGAGAGGTGTGATGATGAGGTGATAAAGAGGCAGTAGAGGATTGGAGAAAGATAGACATGGTGAGATGGTTTGGTATAAGAGATGAACGGAGTAAGTCACGGAAGATAGTGATCGGAGAAGAAGAAGAGATATCACCATGAATACAAGATTTGAGTAGAGAATGGAAGTGAGATAGGTCTCTAATGAAAGGTTTGGTAATGAGCATACTCTCTTGTTCGAAACTTCGAATGTCTCGGAAGTCTAACTTTGTCTGAAAAGAATCTCAGCTTTCACTTTTTATTAGTACCTATTTTGATCAAGCAAGTCTCTGATGTGCTTTCTTCGGTCGACTTGTGTGACTAAGCGTGTTCAGTTTCGGTTCTTTTTCAGATTTGAATTTGGGTAACTATAATCAATTTGGGATAATTTAAAAATATATTAAAAACTGGAAAAAAATTGTGTATAAAAGAAGAATATAGATAATTTTTAGATATATATATTTTTGATGTCAATTACACTAATTTGGGTATTCAAAATAATTATATGATTTGTGTGTTGTATATGTTTCAGAAATTGAGTTGTGAATTTTTTTAATTATGTATGTTCTCTTTATGGTTACATTCATCCATGTTGGGGTTGTATCTCAGCTCCGACAACATAAAATTCTTATTCGTTGTCACTGTAATTAGAAGACACTATTGGAGAAAAAATTGGGAACACACAAGAAATTAGTTTAATTAATACATAAATCTTTTTACAAATTGTCTTCAAATTAAATTTATCGAGTGGATTTATTAATTAAAATTTTTTTTTTCAAATCACAATTTCTCGTCTACAAATCTTAAAATTTGGGAATAAAACTAATATCAACATATTTTTTGGGAATAAAAGCATTTCGGATTTTAAGATTTGTGGTCGATAAATTGTGATTCGAAAATACAATTTTGATTAATAATATCACTCGATAAATTTAAATCAAAGACAATTTGTAAAACTTTTTACGTATTAATTAAACTAATTTCTTGATATCGCAATAGGCTATCAATAATTTTTCAGTCAACCACACATATATTAAAATATTATTCAATGATTTGTAGTCTAATATGGATGAAAAGAGTTTACAAATGAAATCTATGAAAATAACTTTATGGATGAACGAGCTAAACAATCCGCTAGAATTACTAGAATATCATGACTATAGCTTGTTTTTAATGTTTTATTTAATATATACCTTAAAATGTGTATCTTTTATTTATGTATATATATATATATATATTTTCAATTTTTATGAAATAAGATAAAACATATTTGAAGGTAAGACTAATTTTAGTTGTTTGATGTAACAAAAAAAATGATTGTTTTCATTTGGAATTTGATCTATTAAGTCATTTGCATTTGCATCTTGGATCAAATGCGAGGTAGTCTAATATTTTGCATTTGTTACAATTTTTTTTTGTTTTCAGAGTTGAAAAATCATGAATTCATCTATGAAATAGTGAAAGATTATTGGTGCACTAAGATCATACATACATCTACTTTGTATGACATTTTTAGTCTATTTAAATGGTGCATATCAATTTAAAATTGCACTACATATGCATGTGAAATAGTTTACATTTACATGATTATATGGTTATTTTGATGGAGCGCAAATGAAGATGGAAGAGCATGTTAATCTAATAAAAGGCGTAAGACGTCTTTGGTGAAAGTTGGGATAGTCTCGGCCTCACTAATTTTTTTTTACATAGAAAATTCAGTTTTTTTTACTTATATGAATGTGACATGTAAGGAATGTTTTCATATGTTATTAACTTTCCATAATGTTTGAAAAACTTTCATAGGAAAAAAAAAGAGTATATTAGTCACTAGTTTTGTATTGTGTCTTGCAAGATTACTTATTTATTTATAGGGAAATGATAAATTTTAGTTTTTACTAATTAGATAGTTTTTTTTTTTTGTCAAACAATTAGATAGTTTTTTTTTTTTTGTCAAACAATTAGATAGTTCTTTTAAACTTTTGGTTTTGTTTTATATTGGGTTGGAATTTTGGAAGTACGAAGTAGAAACTAAAAAATCAAATTTATTTTAAATAAAAACTAGAAAAAAAAAATTAAAAAAAAATTAAAAACAAAAGAACAAGAAAAATGTAAGATGAGTTTTGGTCTCATCAAAGATTGTCCAAAAGACCAAAAACAAAGGTTATGCATTTCAGTTCCTGGGCCGGCTTGGCCCATATGTCTTTAAACTCAGATATTTTATTTTTTTCCTCTCAAAATAGTTTTTAAGGCAAAAAAAAAAAGAAAAGAAAAGAGAGAGAAGAGAAAGCATTATGCCATTATCCCTTACGACGACGAAGCCGTCGTTTTGAGGTTTTTTTTGTTTTTGTTTTTTTTTTTTTTGGCACCGTTCGTTCAAATCCTGAGATCTTCTTCAAACTCTTCTTTCATTGTCTCCTTTTTCCTCACTCCGTCGTCGTTTTGGTTTCATATCAAAGTTCTTCTTCGTCTCTGTTCCGCGCTGTTTTCCTGGTTAGTCTCTCTCCCCTTCTCCGGCGTCGTTTCGTTGCTTAACGTCTCTGTCTCTGTCTATCTGATTCCGTATCGTCTGTAACTGACCAAATGGAAAATAAAAATCAAACCTTTTTGTTTTCCTCTGTTAATGGGATTCGTAGTGTTTGAGGAAATCTCTGTGGTTTTGAATGAGGCTTGAAAGATTGGATTTTTGTTTAGGGTTTCTTCGATTTTGTGGATTGTAATCTGTAATTTTATTGGAATTTGCTTCAGGGCACATGTGTTTTCATTAGGATTATGTTTTTTGGGGGTAAAGTTTGAAGCTTTGGAGCTTTTTCTGATTAAAGTTTGAAGATTTATTTGGTTTTTTTGTGCAGGTGAGTGTTGATTCTGATGGATGTCTTAGCGAATCCAGGGCCACTTAAGGATGTTGTGCTTTATGATCAAGAGAAACATGTTTCCTCTGCTGTTTGGGATGGCCAGGTTTAAACTCTTCTCTGCACTTAAAATCGATTTGTGGGAACTGTGACAAAGATTGGATGATTGTGCTTAGTGTTGTTGTTTCATGTATTTGCATAATGCTTTCTTTTTGTTGGTTCTTAGACTGATAATAATGTGGAAACAAACTGTTAGGAGCGAGGTGCGTTGAGGTGTCATGAGCACACATCGAAGTTGGGTGAGTGGAAGCTTAAGCCAAAGCAGGTAGAGTTGGTTGAGAGAGCCGGTTTTGGGTATTTGAGACGGATCCCTGCCATTAGTCTTGACAATCCTCTTATCTCTGCGTTAGTCGAGCGCTGGAGGAGAGAGACCAACACTTTTCATTTCACAATTGGGGAAATGACTGTGACTCTTGAGGACATTGCCCTGTTACTTGGATTGGGGATTGATGGTAAACCTGTCATTGGAGTGACATATACAACTTGTGCTGCGGTATGTGAGAGGTACTTAGGGACGGCACCAGATTCTAATTACGCTAGTGGTGGGATGGTTAAGCTTAGCTGGTTGAAAGACAAGTTCTCTGAATGTCCTGATGATGCTTCTTTTGAACGTGTTGAGCGCTGTACACGGGCGTACCTATTGTACTTAGTAGGGAGTACCATCTTCTCTACAACCACTGGAAATAAGGTGCCTGTTATGTATCTTCCGCTGTTTGAGGATTTTGATGATGCTGGAACATTTGCTTGGGGTGCAGCTGCTTTGGCTTTCTTGTATAGAGCACTTGGGAATGCTTCTGTTAAATCCCAAAGCACTATATGTGGTTGCTTGACGCTATTACAGGTGCTATAATTTCCATTTCTGTCAAATATTTTGCAGTTTGGATAATTATGGAATTGAATACATTTATTTAATCTTCTCTCCTTTTTTTTCTTTTTGTTGTATAGTGTTGGAGTTACTATCACTTAAACATTGGCCGGCCAAAGCTGAATCGTGAGCCCGTCCATGATCATTTCCCATTTGTGCTTAGGTGGAAGGGGAAGCAAAATGGTCCAACAGCAAACCGTGATGTGGTCTTTTACCGGAAAGCATTGGATGCCTTGAAGCCATATGAAGTAAGCTTGTTTATATATTCATCAGCTACTCTCTTTTTCTGTACACTTCTGTTGATCTAATGTTGCTGATATACTAGGTGGAGTGGCTTCCGTACGAAAATATGGATGGTAGATACATACCGGATCATATAAGAAACTCTCTGCAGTTGGGTAGATCGAAAACAATGCTGATATCTTTTGACAAGGCGGAGAGACATCTGCCTGATCGCTGTCTCAAACAATTTGCCTTGTTTCAAGGCATCCCAGAAGATGTGCAAAAGTGGGTAAGAAAGTCTAGGGGAGTTGATGGAGGGATTGACCTGTCAGTCAAAATGGAATCAGAGTTAAGCGAATGGGAAATGCGGTGGGAAAATATTGTGCCTGATGATGTTCTAGGTGTTGATGAAGCAGACTACATGAGGTGGTATCTTGGAGTTACCCGGAAAATTGTGGGAAGGCCTATCTCTCTCTCAAGCGAGTTTCAAAGAACGGTAATAGCTAAGAACAAGTTTCTTGACCCTCAGTCATTTTGACAGTACGTCTCTAGGTATGGTCTTAATACTTAACACTTGTTGTTGTCGCAGATTTCAAATGTGAGGGATATATTGGAGTTGGCAGAGAATTTTCAAACACATGATTTGGATCTTGAAAGAGGCAACATGATTTCAAGGATTATAAACCTTGCGCAAGATTGCCTGAGAGATCAAGTTGGAGTAACGGTTACAACAGAAAGCCAGCAGCAGATCGAACTTGGGAAAAGAATGCGCGGTAAAGAAAGGGTGAGAAGGAAGGGGATGGGAAAGAGAAGGAAAGGTATTGATCCAATGGAAGACTATGGGGGTAGTGAAGATGAATCACAGTTTGGACCTGTGGTTGAGGTTGGTCAAATGCATTTACCACTTAGCCATACAAATTCTGTGTATGATGGAACACATATGTACGATGCTGTCACCAAAGTTGATGACATGGAGCTTTGCGACTCCATCCCTCAACTGCCCGAGACTCAAGACATCAGCAAGATTGACGGGTCATTGCTAGACGACGCAGACAAGTCTTTTGAGGACAGTAAGTTACATGAAGAAATTGGTACAACTAATGTTCTGAGCGGCGAGGATCCAACTGAGGACATTGGGGAACTGCCTGAGAGCTATGATGTGAAGAAAGAAGATAAAGAATCAAAGGTTGAAGATTATGATGCAGCAAAGGAAATCAGTGATGTTAGCGGTGAAGAAAACGCAAACAGAGAGGAAGAAGATGGAACAGAGATGGGAGAAAGTATTGCAAATTCGTCTTCTCTTGAAAGAAGAGGAGAGAACACTGTGGTTGCTTGAAAACAGTTGGTGTAATCTATCTCTTGAGTTGTTGAGAGTTATGGAAGTGACAGATAGATTCAATGAGAGTTATTTTACATCAAGAATGAAGAAGAATGGCTGCAGAGGAATTTAAGTTTAGTTTTCTGTTTTGTATTTTTGATTTTTAACTTATTTTTCGTTTGTTTTGGTAAAGTACTGTCTTTTGTTTTAGAAGTATGTTTAAGCAACTTATCTGTAGAAGAAGAGGTTACAGAAAAAGTATGAAACATCATACTCTGATTAAGTGATTAGTGTGACTCCAATTATAATAATTTAGTCGCTCTGTTTCCTAGCAGAAGCAAGCTTAGACCAACATTATTGGTGGGATCTTAAAAAGTATCTTAAACTAAGATTTGTTAAGAATAAGATCAGATCTTAACAAATCTTAGCTTAAGATACTTGTTATAACTCCACCAATAATGTTGCCCTTAAATTATCGCAAGTAGAGACTTCTTATATTCAGGTCATTTCCCTGCAAATTCAACATTTTAATGCAAATATCACAAGATAGTTTCACAACTTTTTTGTTTTGTTTTTGTTTTAAATCATCTTCTCCTAGTGTGGTTGACTAGTTTTTTTATATAAATTTGAACTCAGTTAAAAATAGTGTCAACTGAGATAAATATAATTTTTATGTGTTTAAATATTATAGAAATTTAGATTTTAAAAAATAATAATTTACCAACGATCTTTTAATTTTTTATTAGTTTTGCTCTGTTTATTTTTAATACCATCAAAGACACAATTTTATCTATTAAGATGAAGTGCATAGAGTTAAAATCTAGTTTATTATGATGAAACGAATAGTTAATTATATTGTTTCCGTTTAAATGTGAAATTTATCAATAGTAAAAGTGTTATATACATAGTTCATTATTAGATCTAATTTGGCCAACTTTTAATGGCTCATGTAGTTCATCTAACAATTGGTCAAGTTTATAGATATGAAATTTACAATGAATTGTTGCCTTATAATCAATATTCATTTCAAATACCCAAAATGTTTAACAAGACTCGTTAATATTAGAACCCGAATTAAGTTTCAAAAATGGATTTTAATATAAGAAATATTTTGAAAGAAATCAAACAAAAATTAACATCAACATAGTAACATAAAAATCACACATTTCCACTCATACTTAAACCAATAAGGCAAACAATCTAACAATAATTTTTCTTTGACCAAAAAAAAAATCTAACAATTAGAAATACCTATCTATTTATGTAAAACCCGGTTTCCATATTCGAATCATGCATTCTCTCTGTAGATACTCCCAATTCCTTGTATTAAATAATAAAAGATCTCGAAAAAAATTAAACTTTAAATAAAAACCATAAAACGATTATCTTTCAAATCACTTTTTCTTATTATATAAATTACATAGAAAGATAATAAAAATTCTATAAATATCCATTTTTGTAAGATTCTTTGAATATATATTGTAAGATTAGATAGTCATGTCACTATTGCAGTAAAAAAAAAAAACAAATTAGTTAATTTAACCTAACAAATATGCTATTTCCTCATTCTATTTCTCTCCCCTATCTCTCTCTCTTTCTATACATCTAATTGTTGTAAAGAGTGTAGTGTTTACTCATCAAAATTCCCATTTTGTTCTTTTCTGAATTTTAAAATAACAACAACAACGTTAGCAAAATTCGAATGTGTTTAGAGAGATATCAATGGTGGTTTAATAAATTGACCTTTAAAATTCTCTTTTTTTATTTTTCTCTAAAAACAAAAGTAGTCCTTTAATAAATAAAAAAAACAAAACAAAAACAAGTCCACTTGTGTAAGAATCAATACTTTTTGTTTTTGTTCCTCAGACTAAAGTTAAAAAAAAAAAAAAACATAATTGCATATAGATCCCTCAACTTTAATATACTCTCACTTTATAACCCAATAAAATCGAAACAACACTTTAATGAGACACACGAGATTATAATGCACTGGGTTCTGTGGGTCCCAATGCTTCTTCTTTTTGTCGGCTTGTGTTTTGTGGGTGGAGAATATATGTCATGACAAACGTATCATCTAACCGTTAGATCAAACTAAGTCCACATATGTTACGGTACACTTCACCCACACAGGATTATAATCTCTTCTTCCTACTTTCTTCTTTTTCTTCTTCTCCATAGTCATTTCCAAGTCCAACCATCTGTTTTTGGACGTGACCTTTTGTTCTTCTCTCCTCTCTCTCTCTCTCTGTTATAAACCCAATTTTGAGGTTGTTCGATTTCGATCTACGAGATTCTTGATCTTTTATTACAAGAACTTTGAGAAAGCATCTGTTTTTGTTTTCTTGGGATTCTCGTTGGGTGTGTGTTTGGTCGGATGGTGATCTTCTCGATGTTTGTGCAAGGTAAATTCTTTTTGTATTTTTTGGAGTTGTGTTATTGTTTTTAATTTAGGGTTGTATTAAAGTTTTGATTTTTATGCGAATCTTTGATATTGAATCGTCGTCTCTTGACTCTCGTAGTAAATTGAACCAATTTGCCGACTTTTTTTTTATATGTAATTTGGTTTCAAGATTTTAAGGAAATGCTTTGATTTTTGGGGTTTTTTTTTGTCAAGAGTTTGAGAGATTTGAGTTCTTGTTTGTTTATTCAATGTCATAAAAACGTTAGATCATTAGGGATGAGAAGCTTGTTTGGTTTGAAGATACATTTTATGAGACTTTATGGTTGATTCTTTTGGACCAGTTTGGTAATGGTTTAGTCTATTGATTGACTCGTTGGTTGGAGCATAGGACAAATTTAAGGCTTTGTTGAGATTTTTGTAACTGTCAGATTGAACATATTAAATTGGAGACTCTGTTGTTCTTTATGGCTTCACTATGCTCTTAAGAGATCCTTTTGAGTGGTTGTTCTGTAATAGTTTGTTCCCTATTGTTGTTTATGTAGAGTTTAGTATTAGTTCACTGAAGTAATTTGGTTTCTGTTTATGAGACTTTAGGGTTGATTTGTTTGGACTAGTTTGGCAATAGTTTAGTCTATTGATTGACTCGTTGGTTGAGCATAGGACAAGTTTAAGTCTTTGTTAAGATTGTTTGTAACTGTCACATTGAAAGTCTCAAAAGTGGAGACTTTGTTGTTCTTTATGGCTTCACTACTCTGTTTTGTTTCTAAGAGATTCTTTGAGTGGTTGTTCTGTAACAGTTTGTTCCCTATTGTTGTTTCTGTAGAGTTTAGTATTAATTTGGTTTTTGGTTTTGTTTATGAGACTTTAGGGTTGATTTTTTCGGACTAGTTTGGTAATAGTTTAGTCTATTGATTGACTCGTTGGTTGAGCATAGGACAAATTAAAGTTTAAGGCTTTGTTAAGATTGTTTGTAACTGTCACATTGAAAATCTCGAAAGTGGAGACTTTGTTGTTCTTTAATGGCTTTCACTACTCTGTTATGCTCTTAAGAGATTCTTTGAGTGGTTGTTCAGTAACAGTTCATTTTGTGTTTATCTGCTTCTCCAGGCTTTGGGAACTAAATGGATTCGGTGTTACGCTCGATTCTTTCCGGTTGTTAGCTCGTTTGAATTCTTCTGTTACTGGTTAGAAATCTTGTTGGTGTTTAGTTATGGCTGAGGTTGATAAAGTTCCGGTTAGTGATATGGAACTAGACGGTTCAAGCGAGACAAAAGCAGCAGTTGATGGTGTTGTTGTTGCTGACAAAACGGAGGCCACATCAGTGACTGTAACTAGAACTGATGTTGTTTTAGCTGATAAAACGGAGGCCACACCAGTGACTGTAACTAGAACTGAAGTTGTTGTTGAAGGTTGTCAAACTGAAAGTTCAAAATCTGTTGACTGCAAAGAGCAGCTTGTTCCCCAAATCACAGCTTCACAGTCGGAAGTAGATGTCGCTTCCCCGACATCTGAGAAAGCACCAAAGGTTTCTGAGAGTAGCACTGTCTTGTCTTTGCAGTCTACTTCGGAAGGGAATAGCCCTTTTATACGTGAGAAGGTTATGGAAGACGGATACAACTGGCGGAAATATGGACAGAAGCTTGTTAAGGGGAATGAGTTTGTGAGGAGCTATTACAGATGCACGTACCCAAACTGCAAAGCGAAAAAGCAATTGGAGCGGTCGCCTGGTGGACAAGTCGTGGACACTGTTTACTTTGCTGAGCATGATCATCCGAAGCCTCCTACTGGTGCTGTTTCTATTAGTCAGGATAAACGAAGTGATGTCGTCACAGCTGTGAGTAAAGGTGAATAAAGAACAGATATTATTTCTTATTTATAAGAAAGTTTTTGTTAGGGCTTATGATGTGGTAACATATTAAATGTAACACTGTTTCTTTTTGGTATTATATTTTGTAGAGAAATCATCTGGATCCCTTGTTCAGACACCTCGCCAAACCGAACCACCAAAGGTCCACAGAGGATTACATATTTCAGTTACTCCTGCAGCCGATGATGTGAAAACTGATATTTCACAATCAAGTAGGATAAAGGGCGACAACACTCACAAGGATCTTAGTAGTCCTTCCTCAAAGCGAAGGTATTGATGGTTTATATTTTCAGCTTTGTTATTTCAGGGTTCTGAAGGAAGGCTTTACCATTGGTGTTCTTTGTTTTTCTTATTATGTCGATGTCACTAAATCAGGAAAAAAGGAGGGAACATCGAGCCGAGTCCAGTGGAGAGGCCAACCAGTGATTCACGCAATGTGGTTCACACTCAAACTCTATTTGATATTGTGAATGATGGGTACCGATGGCGTAAATATGGTCAGAAATCAGTGAAAGGCAGCCCATATCCGAGGTAGTGAATTGATTACATATTAAAGTATGATGTCAAACTTTTGGTTTCATTCTTCTCTGCTTATTTTCTTTCTCTGTTTGATGTATTAGGAGCTACTATAGGTGCTCAAGCTCTGGCTGTCCAGTCAAGAAACATGTGGAGAGGTCATCTCAGGACACAAAGTTGCTTATAACTACTTACGAGGGAAAACACGACCATGCTATGCCTCCAGGAAGGGTTGTTACTCATAATAACATGGTGGACTCAGAAGTTGATGATAAAGAACAGAATGCTAAAGAAGGAGATGCCAACAAGACTCCACAGAGCGCAGCTCTTCAATCCATTACCAAAGACCAGCATGAAGAAGATCACCCAAGAAAGAAAATTAAGACCAATGGCTTTGAGAAAAGTCTTGGTCAAGGTCCTGTCTTGGATGAGAAAGTGAAGGAAGAAATAAAAGACATATCAGATGCAAACAAAGATCACGCAGCCAATCACGCCAAGCCGGAAACAAAGTCAGAAGATAAAATCGCTGCTTGTCATGAGAAGGCAGTGGGAACCCTGGAGACTGAGGAACAGAAACCCAAGACAGAGCCTGCCCAAAGCTAAGCATTCGGTGTTGTACTGAGTGGTAATTTATATGGCTGTTTAACATAGATTAGTACAGGCGATATGATTACAGACTGTACAGTTGTTGTTCAGGCAGGACCAGATTTTTAGATTAGTGTTAAATGGAATAGTATGCTTACTACCATTATATAGCCGCTTTCATTTGGTTCAAATAAGAGTTACAGGAAGAGATGGTAACACAACAAGTGTCTTTCTTTATTATGGAGCCTGTGTAATAGTTGTAGTATGGGGATGTATATGATTTGATTCAGATTCAACCTTATTAACCGTATTGAGACAACAATCTATTACTTCCAATCTATCGTTTGCATTTTTATTCTTTCACTTCCAGGCACAAGATGAGACCAAGATTCTGTCCATCCAACCAAGGTACAAAGCACCATCACTTTCTTCAATCACATACCCGTTGCTGTAATCTCTCATCAGGGCTCTAATGGTGGCTGAAATTATTGAGCTCAAGGGGTATGGCTCAAAACCCGCCATGGAAAACCTTGATTTCCATTTCCCGAGAAGCTCGTGCCTTTCGATCCTCTCAGCTCCTTCACAAGCTATGATGTTGACGACATCCCTTGCCAAGCAGTGCTGCTCGATGTTGATCCTTTCCTTGTGATTTCTAGGAAGCATCACATCAATAGATTCAAACATTGCTGTGTAATAACTTAATGTCTCAAGGAACCTAGGAAAGAAAGGAGAAGTGTTTGTGTTGCATTCTTGTTCCACAAGAGTGACCACTTTAGGTGATAGACTCTTCACCATCCTCAGCACTCGGTCCCTGTGGTTTTCCATGCTTACACTCTCATCTGGCAAGTGGTGCAGCATGTAAGCAAAGTTTACTCCAAGGGCTTCGCCTTCCCGGACATCAAGATTTTCCACTTCAACTTCATAACTCGGCCTTGAAATCGCATTGAACTTAAATGGGACATCAAACTTCTTTGCAAGTTTCTCTAGTCTTCTCTTAACTGTAACCAAAACCGATACATCACCAATTCCGGTAATTCGAATATTTGGAGCCCCACCAGGCCTAGCTGCAAAAGCCTGAATCAGCGAAATCCACTGGCTCCCTTGCCCAATTTGGAAGTCAATAATGTGAATTCTTTTCTCATCCTTCATTGCTTCAGCGATCGCCCCATTCGCTGACATGTACCCAAACTTTAAATATGGACAAACCTCATGCAGAACATACACATAAGACAAGAATTCATAACTCTCAGGTTCTCTGGATTGGAGAGATTTGTATATCGAACTACCAGAGGCGGCGAGTCTTGCCACTAGACCTTCTAACATGTAAGCTCCCAATCTCTGGATTGGCGCACCAGAAATCGAAACCATACCACGCAACTCGCCCATACACCATCGCGCCATTAGAAGATTATTCTCAGAAACAGCTTTAGCACAAGCAACCAGTACCCATTTCAAGTCTCCCCTTGATATTGCCTCCACTATCAACAACAAATCATTAGCATCTTCAGGCCACATGGAGAGTTCATGGCAAATAGCATCATTAATACTCTCAGCTATCTCTGGCAATGGCTGCAACATTGTTGTTATCCTCAAGATTTGACTTTTACTTATCTGATCTTCATAACACACAGTATACAATATACATACCCCTTCCTAACAACAGCCAATCATATAAGGCTGCAACACCTGTAGAAGTCATACACAAGTCTTTAATCAGATATGGAAATCAAAACTCTTTCTACATCAACTATGAACTACTTCATCAATAAACAACATAAACTAACACTTCCATCATCCAATTATAAGATCAAAATTTGACAATTTCTCCTCAGAGTTTAGAGTAAACCTCAAGAGAGTGCGTGGAATTTGCAAAATTGTAAACAAAAGGAGAAAAGATTCAAGCTTTGTGTACAAGAAGAAGCAGAGCATCAAAATCCGAGTATAAAGTTTAGATTTTTATGGCAAGAAACTAACCTTGTGAAGATTAAGAAGTAATCTTTTGGTGTCAAAGTAGAACAGATTTGGTTTTGCAAGTGAGAGAGATCCACCCCAAAGCTCGCAGTTGAAGCAAAAGGAAGAATCTTTAAGTGGCTGTAAAGAGAATACGACACCGTTTCAGTTTAAACCCGAATAAGACCCGATCACCCACTTGGTAATTTTGATATGACCCATCTCACTTAAAGTCTCTGGTCTCAAATGGGGAATTGTGTAAGAAGCAATCTAAGAGACTTCAGAGCAAGACGATCGATGGATCCTCGGATATGGCACAAAGTCGCCGCAGTTTCCGGTAAGATTTTGGATAAAGTAATGATCTTTGAATTGATCACTTGATAAAGTAATGATCTTTGAATTGATGGTGTAAGGAAGATACTGATTTCGTTTAGTGTTGTAGGTATGGCTGCTCTTGGTTTAGGAACTTACGGTGCTCATGGCTTTAAACCTGAAAACCCATCTTACAAACAGGTTCAGATTCTGAATTTGTTGGAAAATTTGATTGCTTTTTTGAGATTTTAGCTATTTGGGTTTTGTATTTGTTGTTGGATTTGTCTGAAAAAGTTGAGGTTTTTGTTAGGTGTGGCAAACGGCTTCTCTTTACCATTTGGTTCACACTGCTGCTCTTGTTTCTGCTCCTACCACCAAATATCCCAACATTGTAAAGCTTTCTCTTGTTTCCTGTGTTTCTCCAGTTTGTGTCATTTGCTAGTTGATGCAGCTGACTTATGATTTTCTTGTACAGTTTGGTGGCTTGTTGACTGCTGGGATTGTAGCGTTTTCCGGCACGTAAGTTTCTCAAGTTCTTCAATTTAAGCTCTTGAATTGTTGTGTATGTGAAGCTTGTGGGCAGTTTGTTAAATCTCTTGTAATTGAGCAATTTAAAATGAATTGGAGTTTCGAGTATACACTCTAATCTTTTGGCATTGGAAATATCTTGACATGTTTTGTACTCTGAGTTATCTAATCATTGCATCACTTACTAGTTGCATAGATCTTTGTGGGTGAGGCTTGTGAGCTAATGATTTGATTTAAGAATCCATGCTTTTTCATGAAATAGTTTGCCCCCTCCCACGAACCATGTGTAGCATAGTCTATGCAAGTTAACTGTATTTAAGATTCTTAATATGTAACTCTAATGTTTTGAATCAGTAGTCTATTTCCAGGTAATGAATATGTGACAAGTTTCATGTTCGTCAAAATGTTGCAGGTGTTATATGGTAGCGTTGCGTGAGGACAGAAAGTTTTCTACCATGGCACCATTCGGAGGCTTTGCGTTCATTGCCGCATGGGCAACCCTGCTTTTCTAAACAATCTCAAAACCATCTATATTGTTAAGTTGTGGTCAAGCCTCATTGTTTATATTGGTTAATGCAATTCTGTGTTGACTACCGTAAAACATCTTCCTTTACTTCTTCACTTTGTTGCTAAAGGGATTATGTAAAGAGAAATGACCAGATTAATGTAATATTATTACCATACAATTTATCAAAATTCTACATTACAAAACAAGCTCCAGAGGAGTTAAAAAGTGAAATTTCGAAGTTCCAACAAAGACTGGATTTATTTTATATTGTGTACCAGTAGTAACAATTTGAAATATCAGTCCACTCATCATCTTGCATGTGCAGCTTGGCCCTTTCCTTTGAATCATTTGGTATACTCAAAATGGCATGAACCGTGACCTATCAAACCATGAGATAATCAGATGCAGATGGTTCAAGATCTTGATTGATCAAAGAGATTAAAGAACTGTTGACAAAAGGGTCTATAGGGGTAAAGAAGCTTACTAGGGTCGTTCTGCGTGAGTATTCCAGCGCTGTTGAAGTAACATTCAGCACCCCTGTGCTTATAAATCTGGTAATAACTATTGAAGACAAAAGAGGCATGGTCCTTGAGAGTGTTGGGCTCAAAGCAAGGCTGGTTAGGCTGAATCTGAGTGCAGTCTACTCCGCCTTGTCGACAAGCCCAGTCTAAGGCTGCTTGTATCACATAATCTGGTATCTGTGAATCGACTACACACCATTGTCCGAACTCTGCTTTTGCTATATATATAAACACACACATATATATTATAGCTTTATGAGATTATGTGATTGCTAGTGGATGTAACAATAATATTGTACCTGAAAACGTTAGTGTTATGAAAAGTAGAACAATTGAGATTCTTGACCAGAAACTTTTCATCTTCACAAACATGTAAGTTGGGAAGGTTTGAGGATTGAGAGCTTAAAGATGGTCATAACTCGAGTGTTCTATAGTATTAGTAGATAATCTCTGTTTAGTAAGGTTATGTGTAATTCTTATCATCTGCCAAAATTTTTAGGTAAGAAGTTACATTTTGGAAGACTACTAATTTCTTCTTCTTTGACCAAAAATAAAACAGCTAATTACTTCTTCTCTTTACTAGGGATGCAATACCATGAGTGGCTATAATACTTCATAAGCTTATATATCTTACTTTTCTCATCTTTGATATACTTGTTATAAGTTTCTTAAATTTGGAAATTTATATTTGACTGATAAAAAACACTATGGTAACTAAAAGTTTAAACTATTTCTAATAAATTACAATAAAAATAATTAGAAGACTATAAATTGTTGACCAAAAAAAAAATACGACGAATTAAAGATTACTAAACAAGATTTTAAGTTTATTTTTAGGTTTTTTTCTTTGTACCATTTTATGAGATTTTTCTCAAGTTTTTATGCACTTTTTATATTAATTAACTAATTTTTGACTACTTAAATTTTGCAGGAGGAGGGAGTAGTTGAGTATGAATTTGATAAAAATTTATATGGTCAAATTATTTGAATATTGGAATGTGGTTAAGCTATACTACATGTGAATTCACTCCTATCATCTAATCGATTAGTAAATTATTTCTTCACCCGAACCGAAAATAGAAAATATCCGAACATGTTCTATATTGCTAAATCCGAATACCCAAAAAATCAACATAACTAGAACCAAACCCGGACGGATATCCGAATGAGAAAGCTACAATTCAAAACAAGACACATAACAAAGCAAAACATGTAAACAATAAGCTGGATACATTATAACATAGATAAGACAAAAACAGTGCTCACCCTCCTTTGCTCTATCTTATTGACCAGGAGTCAATTCAAACATATAGAAACCAAAAACAATCGTATGCATACATGGTTATGAGTGTCTCTTGATATGCTATTTGCAAGACACTGAGCTACTAAATATAAAACAAGGAATCAAAAATTACCAACGAGTAACTTCACTGATTAATCAAACATAAAAGCAAAACCGAAGAAAGAAAAAAACTTAGAAAGAGCTTCAAGAAACCATGTTTCCTTAGAAAGAGCTTCAAGAAACCATGTTTATCTTCCACTTCACTGGATTCGAACCAAACTTGTAACATAATTGAATATGCATGGATGCTCCGTCCAGGTTTCAGATGATACAAGAGAGTGTTCAGTGTAATATGCACCGTCCTCTCCCATAATAACCATATGACTGTTAAAATCCTTTCTTTTAAAACACACGACCACTTTTTTCTCTTCATCGATCAGAAAGCTAAGGGGGCATATCAAATAAAAACAAAAATTAGTGGGAAGTTTTAATTCCACACTAAATGATTTCCTCCACGACAAGGTAGCTTGAGTATCATCAATGTTATTAGACATCCAAATATCAATATTTGAATAGTTTTGATGTATCACTGAGATTTGTTCTTCTCTAACTACTGATAGAATTATCCAATCACAATCCTGAACTGGCGGTGGAAGACATCGCAAAGGTTTAAAACTCTCTGTCTTAAAATCAAAACTTAGTAACTTATTTTTTGCTGTAAACCAATAACTATTTCCTTTCAAAGACACACCAGTTTTAACTACTATGCTGTCTTGTAAAGAGAACTTATCAAAAACCTTCCATGAATCAGAGCTAAACTCGTAGATTTCATATGAAACATCATAGAATCGTTCATTAATGTCATGTCTCCAACACCTCAAGATTTTGTAGCTACGACAAGATTTGTTGTTTTTGTATCCTAGAGCAAACCTAGAGTACTGTTTCTTGTAATCAGCTTTGAGTTGAATCCACCTGGTTTCTCTCAAACACGGGTTCCAAACCACGAGTTTATCATCATCCGTAGTGCATAACAACAAACCATCGCAATGAAAAACTGTTTTTATATGGACTTGTTCTGACTTATAATATGAATCCTTTAAGCTAAGTGCACTCTTAAACTCTATAGATGGAGCAGTAACGTTGAGATTCACGTTCATTGGAAAAACCCTAACATCCTTCAACATGAGAATCATTGACTCCTTAGGAGCTGTGCGGAAGTGCTTATGGGTGAATCTTTGGTTGTAGAATAAAGCGTTCCATTGTTTGCAAGAAGACCTTAGTCGTTTCAGAGATGTGGCTGGGACTCTATAGAGTATTTCCTCTACCAATTCCACCGGAAGTTTCTGCATCATCATTGGTTGTCCAAAGGAAGAAGAAACTGACTCATGCAAAGCAAGTATAATTAGGGTTTTGAGTTTTGTCCCTTTAAACCAATCTTTGTCTTAATTATAAAGAGAAAAATATCGTATGACGTTGGCTAAGACAATTATTTTAATTTCACTTGTCAGCTTCTAAAGTATTTTTTTTTGCCAAAAGAAATAATAATAGAAAGATGACAAAAAAAATAATAATAATAATAGAAAACACAAGGGGAAATTAATTTTAGGAAATTTGATTAATATATGGAGAAGGAACAAGTGGGCTAGTGGTTCTCAGCTCTGTTTGCCTTTTCACCAGATTCGGGTTTGAGCCCGGTCCCTCTCAAAGAGTGACTTATAATTTATAATGATGTAAAAAAATATATATATTTTATATATTGAAATTTTTCCATTTACGCCTTCTTTAATAAAATTAAAAAAAAATAAAATCTAAGAAAGTTATTGCGAAAAATTTATGACAGATATTCTACTATGAAGTACACAAATAAAAATAACCTTATAAATTGTAAGAATTTACATTGAAATATCATTACAAAAAGTTTAAAAATGAATAAAAAACTGAGGATAATAAAGATAATTAAAAAATTTAAAAAAAAATTTAGCAAGATAATCTATAAACTATAAATAAAATCACAAAATAATCATATTTGTATATACAAACATACGTGGTACATAAATATTTAATTAAATTAAAAAAGTTTATCACAAATTTATATCAAATAAAGAGTTCAGTACCTAGTAATATGTATGAGTAATATCATGTGACTAATGAGTAATGACATACATACATTTAAAGTGTTTATGTCTACACTTCAAAAAATAAGGCTTCAAAAAAGTAAGGCTTTTAACGTCAGTTTTTATATGAGTTAACGTCTTGAATAGCATATATGTGCTATGAGAGTCTCTTACTAGGGTCGTAGTTAGTGATCATTGCAGTACCGTTGATGTAACAAGAACCTCCCATGTGCTTATAATGCTGGTAATAACTATTGAAGACAACAGAGGCATGGTCCTTGATAGTGTTGGGCTCGAAGCAAGGCTGGTTAGGTTTAATCTTACTGCAGTCTGCTCCACCAGCATGACAAGCTCGCTCAGTCTATGGAGTGCTTTGTAACACATCATCCGATGCCTTTACATTGTCTACACACCATTTTTATAATACATGAACTTCTTTATAAATTTAATATACGGCCAAAATATATACTTTCTAACTTGTTCAACTAAGAAACGCACATTAACAAAGTTTTAATATGTTATATTAGTCTAAGGACTCTGAAAAAGAGATCTACAAGAAAATCGGGTATGTCAAAACTTCTTTGTTTGATGTGTCCAAGATGTGACACATACCAATATTAGTAACCTAGGAAAGCTGAATTGATTATAGTATAAAATGGATGGTCATATAGCGAAACCATCTCATCTAGCTGCATTGCATCAATATGAATCAAATAATCTGTTGGGTGTACATTCTGAGATGGTGAAGAGGAAGAGTTGTATTCATCATCAGGGGAAGATTCTTCGACAACGAAAAGTAACATATATAGTAATTAAGGCATGGATAATCAAAGGCAAAAAAACAAAACCGAAGTAATAAAAACTAAAAAGGAGCTTCAAGAAACCATGTTTCCTTGCTAGCTAGTTTCATTCTTCTCCCTTTCATCTTCCACTTACTGGATTCGAACCAAACTTGGAACATAATTGAATATGCATGAACGCTCCGTCCAACTTTTAGATGTTACAGTAGGGTGTTCAGTGTAATATGCGTTGTCCTCTCCTATTATAATCTTAACAATGTGGTCGTTAGAATGCCTTACGTTACAACACACGACCACTTTTCTCTCCTCATCGATCAAATAAAAAGAAGAATTAGCGGGAATTATTAACTCCACACTAAATGTTTTCTTCCACGACAAGGTATCATCAATGCTATTAGCCATCCAAATATCCATCTTTGATGTACGATAGTTTTGATGTAACATTGAGAGTTGTTCTTCTCTAGCTACTGATAGAATTATCCAATCACAATCCTCAAATGGCACCGGAAGACGACATACACGACTAAAACTCTCGGTCGCAAAATCAAAACTTAGCAAAACCTTCTTTATTGTAACAAAGTAACTATTTCCCTTCAAACACACACCAGTTTGAAATGGTATGGAGTCTTCCAAAGAAAACTTATCAAAAACTTTCCATGAATCAGAGCTAAACTCATAGACTTCAAATGCATTAGGGTTCCAACAACACTTCAAGATTTTGTAGCTACGACAAGATTTGTTGTTTTGGTATCCTAGAGCAAACATTGAGTATTTCATGTAATCAGCTTTGTGTTGAATCCACCTGGTTTCTCTCAAACACGGGTTCCAAACAACGAGTCTATCATCATCCGTAGTGCATAACAACAAACCATCACAATGAAAAACTGTGGTTATATAGACTTGTTCTGGATTATAATCTGAATCCTTTAAGCTAATTGCACTCTTAAACTCTATAGATGGAGCAGCAACGTTGAGATTCACGTTCATTGGACAACCCCTAAAATCCTTTAACATGAGAACCATCGACTGCTTTGGAGCTTCGTCAAAGTGCTTCTTGGTGAATCTTTGGTTTTCGAATAAAGCGTTCCATTGTTTGCAAGTAGAGCCTAATCGTTTAAGAGATTTGGTTGGGACTCTATAGAGTATTTCTTCTATTAATTCCCACGGAAGATTCACCTTTGTTTCTCTAAAGGCGCGACTGATATTGCAAGACTATATAAATTAGGGCTTTGAGTTACGTCCCTCTAATTAGACCAATCTCTGTCTTAAAAAGAGAATAATATGGTATGACGTTGGCTATGTTTTTTTTTTCTTTTTAATTTCTGAATCTTATTTTTATTTAATTTGATACATATATATATTATAGAAAATTTAAGAATTTTTTTTTTTTAAATTAGCTTTTTAGCGTCATTCATAGAACATGATGTCATCTACAAAAACTTTCTCATCATTTCATAAGAAAAAGGGGCTTCAAAGTAACTGAGAGTTGAGTCCTCCATTAAAGGAAAAGCTTGGGAAGAGGATGAAGGAGGAAAGCGAAAAGAAGCAACAACGATGAAGAGAAGAAGACGTTTGCCAAACATGTCGTGAAGAGGGTGAACGACACAGAATATTAGGAAGAGATGGCTATGTTGTTTTGTAATAAAAGACCATTGGACTATTGGGGTAATTAGGCCCAATGAGTAAGTGTGTTATCTAAGTGAGTCAAAATCTTAGTTAACTTTTTTTTTTTTGGTAACAATGTAAAATATTTATACAATTTTCGAAATTGTGACAAAAGTTTTTTTTTTTTTTTTGGATAAAAGATAAGTTTTATACAAATTTTCGAAATTTTCGAAAGAAATTACAGAGAATAACAGGAAACAGATAACAACACCTACAAAAAAAAAATTAAAATAAAACATTACTACTCAAAAATGCTACGGATCGCTAATGAGATCTTAAGGCTAAGTTGCGAAGAGAAACCGATTCCGAGCCCACGAATCTCGGAAATTTGCGTGGTTGCCACATAACCGAAGAACTGGAATTCTCATCCTTATTGCCACGAGCCGATCTAACCGAGGCCAGCCTTCAAAACCTCATTATAGAAGCCTACAACTTCTCCAAAAACTAACTCAAAAATGTAAAGGCAACCGCGGACTTCTACCCACTCATTGTGACAGAAGTTAGAAGTTGTGTTGGAGTTGTTAGAGTGTAAGAAGAGAGTGAATCAAGGAACTAGAGTTACATTGAGTGAGTAGAGTGGCTACTAGTTTGGCTTGTTTAAGAGAGTAGTTAATAGAAGTATAGTCTAAGTGCAAGTGTGCAAATGTGTAGTAGAAGTGGGAAATATAGTACAAGTATGTATGTGTGTGTTGTAAGAAAAGGCATTCAAGTGATCAATGTTAACAATGTAGACATTAAAAGCTAAACGTGTGTTCTTGTTTCTCTCTAGAGTAAAGTGAAGATGTGGTGTTGAATGAGTTTTATAAGCTATCTTAACATGTCAACATATTACGATGATATATGAAGTGACTGGATAGAATTGACATAGAAGATGAAGCAGTGCTTGTACTAGTTCTGACGTCAATACAGGAAGTAGTACAATAAGGTGAGTTGTGCGAGTACTTGAAGTAGTACAGGAGGCAGTACAAGAAGCCGAGCTGTGTGACTACTTGAAGAGTTGGAGTACAGAAGTTTGGGACCGACTTGGGCAAGCCAAGAGGCGGTTGCTGAGCTGGATGAGCATCTTGAATTTACGAGAATGTGAAAGACAAATTTCCTTATCTATAAAGAGCAAAGGAAATTTGTCAATTCCTATTTGATGAAGGAATAGGAAGATTGTCAATCTTTAGGGTTGAGCAATTGTTATAAATATCAAGAGGGCGCTTCATGAAGACTTGCGCGCCTCAGAGTATTCTCGAGAAGATGCACACAAGGTGTGTGGCGTCGCCCCATCAACAAGATAGAGAGATCTTTTGATGGTTTTGTAGAAGAGCTACACTAGTCGGAAAAGACAATTAGTGGTAGTCTTCTTTCATTGTAATTCTAGGAAAGAGTTGGTGGATTCCATATAGCAATTGTAGGTTGCGAACTTTTCTAGTTAATGAAGTCTGGACTAGGTCCCGGGGATGTAGGTTATCTGAACCCCGTTAGCAAAGCTTGTGTCTTATTTACTTTATGCTCATACATACTCGAAGTAGATCGTACACATAGTTGAATTAGTCACACATATGCACTTTCATAAAGCACAAAAAAAACGTTACCGTTGTAGAGAAAGTTGACCGCATGACTAATATTGGGCTTCTCCTTTTTGATTGAAATAGAGGTCTTATCCAAGTTGTCTTGATACAGAGTGATATTGCTTTTACCCTCCTTCCAACTTGAGGTAGGTGGCACACCAATAGAAAAAATTGATCCATAGTGGTATTGCTTTTATTCTTCAAACAATTGATGCATAGTAACTATATTTCAGATGCTTACTAGGTAACTCTAATGTTTTTGGATCAGTAGTCTATTTTCAGGTAATGAAATTGTGAGGAGTTTCATGTTCGTTGCGTGATGATAGAAACATTGGCACCATTCGGAGGCTTTGCGTTCATTGCAGCATAGACGACAACCCTACTTTCTTAAACAATCTAAAAACCATTTATATTTGGTCAAGCTTATCCGACATATGTACTCATTGTTTACTCCCTATAGGAGATTGCTTAATGCAATTTTGTGTTGACATCTTCCTTTACTTGTTCACTTTGTTGCTGAAGGGATTAGGTAAATGACCGGATTAATGTAATCTTATTACCATACAATTTATCAAAAATCTACATCAGAAAATAAAAAAAAGTGAAACTTCAAGTACCAACAAAGACTGGATTTGTTTTTTTTGTGTTTTAGATTGGATTTGTTCAATTTCATATTGTGAACAAGTAGTAACAATTTGAAAAAATCACTTTATTCATGTGCAGCTTGGCCCTTTCCTTTGAATCATTTGATATACTTAAAATGGCACGAACCATAACCTATCAAATCATGAGATCATAGACATATAATAAATCAAGATCTTGATTGATCAAAGAGATTAAATAACTGTTAACAAAAGGGTCATATGATAAAGAAACTTACTAGGGTCGCGTTGTGTGAGTATTGCAGCGCTGCTGAAGTAACAATCAGCACCCATGTGCTTAAGAATTTGGTAATAATTATTGAAGACAACAGAAGCATGGTTCTTGATAGTGTTGGGCTCAAAGCAAGGCTGGTTAGGCTGAATTGTACTACAGTCTACTCCGCCTTGTTGACAAGCCCAATTTAAAGCTGATTGTGTCACAGAATCAGGTATCTGTGGATCGGCTACACACCATTGTCCAAACTCTGCTTTTGCTATATATAATAAAAGAGACACACATATTATATCTTTGAGATTATGTGATTGCTAGTGGATGTAACAACAAAGTAGTACCTGAAAACGTTAGTGTTATGAAAAGTAGAGCAATTGAGATTCTTGAGCAGAAACTTTTCATCTTCACAAATAGGTTAGTTGGAAGGTTTGAGAGCTTAAAGATGGTCATAACTCGAGTGTTTTATAGTGTTAGTGTATAATCTTTGTGTTAGGTAAAATGTTATTTTTTGGAAGACTTCTAATTACTCCTTCTTAATAAGGATGCAAATATCCCATGAGTGGTTATATATGCTTCATAGGCTTATGAATATATATATTTATATATAGTTATATATCTTACGTTTCTCATCTTTGATATATTTGTTATAAGTTTCTTGGATTTTGAAATTTATATTTGACTGATAAAAAAATACTATGGTTATTAATTAAAAGTTAAAAGTATTTATCATAATTTACAATAAAATAATAAGAAGACTATAGCTAAATTACCAACAAAAAAGAAACAATAGATTAAAGATTAGTAAATAAGGATTTACATATATTGTCAACTTGTCATTGGTCTTAGGACGACCATTTTTTTCATTTAGGGTGAAAGTGTAAATTAAGTTTTAAACTAAAAAAATACTTTTAAATAATAATTATAAGTTTTCAAGGAAATATGTTCATTTTCTTTCACTAATTAATTAAGGACAAAATTTAAAATTAATTGTTAAATAATATTAAAAATTTTAAAACTAAGATTTGATATCTAACTAATATTATATCACATTATTTGTTTCTGATTATCATATTATTTGTTTCTGATTATTATATTTGGAAGACTCTTTGATTTCGTTTTTAATTTATCTTGATTCATCATATAATAAATATGATTAATAATATGTAAATATTTTCTACATATGCTGTGATTTGATTTTTTTTTAAAAACATAAATATACAATATTCTATAAAAAAAAATGTGTGTCTAACTAGAGTTACGCGATTTGATAAAATTAAAGTCTTGTTTGCTCACTATTACAATATTATACTGACGTTGTTAATTTTACTAGGAGATAACAATAGATATTACTCGCATGTTATATTGTTATGTGATGGAGTGGGTTAAAATTTACACAAATATGATTATATAATTTATAATTATAACGGGTTGGTCTACTAAAACACACAAAATAGTTTATTCTGATATAAGACGAGTTCAATTAGAAGTATTACACCAATCATAATCCGTCGACCGTCCTATCACACGCACACTTATAATTACCTGAATTTTGTTAGAAACTTACTGAACTGTATAACAGAGCAATTGTTATCCTAATGAAAGAATTTATTCATATTTGAGAACTTAACGATGGTGCAAAGTTCAGTATTTTTATATACATGATTTTCTTTATAAATTCTAATATACAATCAAAATACTTTCTAAACTTGTTCAACTAAGTATTTTGGCAGTAAATAAGAAATGCACATTAATATATAAAAGATTTGTTACTAGTAAACTTATGTTATAGCCAAGACATTTTACATTAGTTGTTTCATATTCATTGTTTAAACAAACGAAAAAACAAAACCGAAGAAAGAAAAATTAAAGACAAGCTTAAAGAAGCCATGTTCCATACTAGTTTCTTTTCCCTTTATCCTTTACTTCGCTGGATTCTAACCAAACTTGGAACATAACTGAATATGCATGGATACCACAACAACGGACCTTGAGATGGTACAAGAGGATGTTCAGTGTAATATGTATTGTCCTCTCCAATAACGTTAACCATGTAATGACTAGAATCACAACACACGACCACTTTTTTATCCTCATCGATCAGAAAGCTAGGGGATTTTACCGAAATAAAAACCGAAATAGCGGGAACTTTCAATTCCACGGTAAATGATTTCCTCCACGACAAGGTAGCTCGGGTATCATCAATGCTATTAGCAATCCAAACATCTATATTTGATGTATGATAGTTTGAATATAACACTGAGAGTTGTTCTTCTCTAGCTAACGATAGAACTATCCAATCAGAATCCTGAATTGGCGGAAGACATAAACGTTTAAATCTCTCAGTCGTAAAATTAAAACTTAGCTAGTAGTTTCTGTCAGAGAATGTAATCCAGTAACTATTTCCCTTCAAAGATACACCATTATGAACTGGTTTGATGAATTCCAAAGAGAATTTATCAAAAACCTTCCATGAATCAGAGCTAAACTCATAAATTTCAAATTCGACGAATGGTTTGTTACTTTTCCTAACACCTCAAAATTTTGTAGCTGTGGCAATTAGGTTTGTTGTTTTGGTATCCTAGAGCAAACATAGAGCCTTTCTTGTAATCTGTTTTGAGTTGAATCCACCTGGTTTCCCCCAAACACGGGTTCCAAGCTACGAGTTTATTATCATTGGCGAAGCATAACAACAAACCATCACAATGAAAAACTCCAGTTATATCGACTTCTTTTGAATTAGAATTAGAATTCTTTAAGCTAAGTGCACTCTTAAACTCTATAGATGGAGTGGAAACCTTGAGGTTAACGTTCATTGGACAAACCTTAGAATTCAGCAACATGAGAATCATTGACTGCTTCGGAGCTTTGCAATAGTGCTTCTTGGTGAATCTTTCGTTTTCGAATAAAGCGTTCCATTGTTTGCAAGTAGAGCCTAATCGTTTGAGAGATTTGGCTGGGACTCTAAAGAGTACAAAGGCGACTAATTAACGCAAGGCAAGTATAAATTGGGGCTTTGAGTTTCAACCCTCCAAGTAGACCAAACTTTGTCTTATAAAGAGAATAATATCGTATGACGTTAGATAAGATAGTTGTGTTTTTTTTCTTCTTTTAATTCGGAATCTTATTTTTATTAAATTTAAGATAATTATATTAAAATTTTGATTTTGAGCTTTTAAATTTTCTTTTTGCCAAAAAAGTAATAAAAAACCACACAGGGGGAAATTAATCTTGGGAAATTTGATTTTTTTTTTTGAATTTTTCCATTTACGTCTTCTTCTATAAAGAAGAAGTTAAAATCTAAGAAAATTATTGAGAAAAAAATCTATAAAAATCTAATATGTATGAGTAAATATATATAAGGATAATGTGACTAATGAGTAATGACATTCATATTGTTACGTACAAATACAATACAAAAAATAAGGCTTTTAACGTCAGTTTTTGTATGGGCTAACATAGTGAATAAACCGACCCTAAGGATTGTATCGATACAGTAACATATGCTTATTGGCTATCTACTCACCTAAATGATTACTATATACAGCCTCCCCCTGTGGGGAGAGGATCATGTATTCCAGTGAATTGCCTTATAGATTCAAAAACTGTTGTGGTTTAGTTAAATGTAGTATTTATAGCGTTGGCTAAGAGAACTGCAAAAAAATTACTTTCAAACTTATTCAACTGAGTATGTTGGCAGTATATAAGAAACAAATAAAAGATTGTGTACTAATTAGTTACTGTAAACTTATGTTATTGCCTATACATTTTACATTTGTCATCTTTGATAAATATAATATATAAATAGATTTTTTTTTTATAATAGTATCTTACAAAATATAATTCTCTAGGGTCCCTGCCGCATCTCTGAGATGGTTACGATCTCTTAGCTTGAAGGATTCAAATTATAATCCAGAACAAGTCGATATGAAAAAAGTTTTTCATTGCGACGGTTTGTTGCTATGCATTGGGGATGATGATACTCAACGTTTGCTTTAGGGTACCAAAATAATAAATCTTGTCGTAGCTACAAAATCTTGAGGTTTTGAAACTGTTACAAACCATTTCGTGATGTTGCATTTGAAATCTATGAGTTTTTAGCTCTGCTTCATGGAAGGTTTCTGATAAAGTATAAAGGTCTCTTTGGAAAACATCATACCATTTCACACTGGTGTGTCTTTGAAGGGAAATAGTTATTGGGTTACTTATATGAAAGAAATTACTTGCTAAGCATAGATTTTTTTTTTTTTGATAAAAGCTAAATTTTAATTTTACGATAGAGAGATTTAGACGTCTGTATTTCCGACAATTCAAGATTTGGATTGGATAGTTCTATCAATAGTCGGGGAAGAACAAATCGCAATGTTACATAAAAAAAATCATACATCAAGGATGGATATTTTTTGATGGATAATAACATTGATGATACCTTGTCGTGAAGGAAATCATTTAGTCATTTACTATAGAATTGAAAATTCCCACTAATCATGTTTTTTTTTATAGGATACTATACCCCTTTAGCTTTCTGATCGATGAAGAGAAGAAAGTGGTCGTGTATTGTGACATGAGTTATTCTAACAATCACATAATAACATTGTAGAGTTGAAGATGGATATTACACATACTACCCTATTGTTGTACCATCTAAAAGTTGGATGCGACGTCCATACATATTCAAGTCTGTTCCAAGTTTGGTTCAAATCCAGCCAAATAGATGATAAAGGGAAAATAATAAAACTAGTATGGAACATGGTTTCTTTAACCTCCTTTCTTCTTTTTTATTTCTTTGGTTATGTTTTTTAGTTTGATTAATCAATGGATTCGTCGATTATTTTAGTTTTAGTTTTAGTTTTAGGTTTTGTTGTTGTTGTTGCTGTTACCTTATATGCTTCCTTGTTATTTGGTAGCAAACAGCATATCAAGACAAGCATTCGAAGTGGTTTCATAACGACCTTATAGCAGTGTTTACATGCTTTGCTTTGTTATGTTTCGGTTAAAAACGATTAAAAATAATAAAAAATTATTAAATGTAGAAACTTTATTTCTATAAGCTTATTACATTACAACAATAATAAAATTTCATCCAGTTAAACATTACATACATTATTGATATTCTGAACTTCCTACACGACAATGTCATAGAAAAAAAAAGATTCATTCAAAAAGTAGAATACAAATATGTTATGTTATATGTAAATATTTTATATTTCTTTTCAGAAGGTAAAAAATCTTAAACATTAAAACAAAATTTTTAGTCAAAGATTTTCCCAAGAAACATTCCTTTCTTTGGGAAACCTCTTTTGAACAATATTCAAAACTTTTCTTTTGTAACCACCAAAACAAAATTTATTACCAGCTAATAAATACATTATTACCTGTATCTGATCATCTTCTTCTTCTTCACATTCTTCTTTCCTCCTTCTTCATCTTCTTCTCTCCTTCTCCATCATCCTCTGTTACATTCATCTAATATGGCTCCTTCAGAGTTAAACCTCCTTCGACAAATTGTAGGAATAATAGGTTAGTTCAATTCTGACTCACAAATTCTTAACATCTTCTCTTGTATACTGAAATTTTTGTGTTTTTTTTTGTATAACTTGGAATGATCTTGCTTGCAGGAAACATCATTGCTCTTGGTCTATTCTTGTCTCCTACGTAAGTTTTAGGTTTTATTAAATCTATTAACTTGTTTATATCTTAAATTCTAATTGATTTCTTTATTAATATATCTATATATTGTATATTCTCTTAGAGAATTTTTATTTCCTTCAGGCCAACATTTGTTGGGATAGTGAAAAAGAGATCCGTGGAAGCATTCTCCCCAATGCCATACTTAGCAGCCTTGATGAATTATTTGGTTCGTTTTATTTATGCACTTCCTATGGTGCACCCTAATAGCGCATTACTCGCTTTGCTCAGTGGTATAGGGATTGTCATAAATGTTACTTTCCTAGTTATATTCTTCATGTTTTGTCGCTGCCAAAGAAAACGGCTGGTTATAACCGCTATTTTAGCGGCTGAACTCGCCTTTGTAGCTGTCCTTACTACAACGGCTTTGACTCTCCAACACTCAACGTCTGAAAGGACATTGAGCGTTGGAATAGCCTCATGTATCTTTAACACATTAATGTATGTGTCTCCTCTATCTGTTATGGTAAGTTGAGTATTAGTTTAACCTATGACCAAATTATTTTTACGCGTTTTTAATTTGAACTAATCAGTTTTTTTGGTTTTTGAAGAAAATGGTGATAGAAACTAAAAGTGTGGAATTCATGCCATTTTGTCTGTCTCTTGCTAATTTACTTAATGCTTCCGTTTGGACGGCTTACGGATTTCTTCCGTGGGATCCGTACATGGCGGTGAAGTTCTTTGTTTTCCTAATACTATGATCGATATAGTTTTAGACAACTGATTTTGTGTAATGAAAATCTTTGTTTTCGCAGATACCTAATGGAATAGGCTGCCCTCTTGGATTGGTCCAGTTGATCCTATACGGTGTTTACTACAAGTCGACCAAACAAATGATGTCGGAAAGGCAGCAAGCATTAACGAGTGCTTGATTGTGATGTTCTCATCTCGTTTTTTTGTTGTGTTAATATTTTCCATTGAACTTAAAGTAGTTTTTTCACATTGTATTCTTGGATGTTTTTGGTATAGAAATTTTATTAAGGACCCCAAATTAAACGATGCACCCGATCACGGTGTATGATTTGATGTTTTTGTTTTACTATTTCTTCCTTGAACCGTATTTAGAGATTTTAGACATGCTAAAAACAATATACCCAATTTGTTTCTTTACTAATTAACAAGAATATTCTTCTTTAGTGAGAATTTCGTAGGGTTTAAGAAAATATTGTCGCTTGGGGTAATGATGACTAATTTATATGTATGATACCTTTAAATTTGGTATATAATAATAACGACTAAGATTTGATTAAAGAATATTTCTAGACCTTGATCAATTAAATATTTAGAAGTAAAAACTACGGCAGCTAAAAAATTTGGAAAACAATGATGTGGGAAAAACGAATACATTAAAGCACGAGTTTATAGGGCCATGTTTGTGTTGCTTTGTTAAGGCCCAAAAGTCATACCTAACGGAAATTATAACTAACGCCCAAATAATTGTATGGTTTGTAATTAATTTAAACGGTGAGAATTAGAAGCTTCCTCTTACAACGGACGACTGAGATTAAAACATATGATTAGACGCGTAAAAATCAGATGGTGAGGATTAGAAGCTTCCACTTATAAACGAACGGCTAAGATTATAACATAATTTTTTCGGGTTTGATTAGCGGGTCAAAAGATCCGCGCGTTTATCTGTATTTTGAGTTGTTTGGCAACAGTTTTAAGATTTTTTATACTATAGTATTGATACAAAAATTTAATGTTTTTGTTTGGCAACATGGTTAAATCGCTTTTGATATTACATATATATTATATTTTCATACTTTTCCCTACTTTTTTCTCGCAACAAATTTCCTATCTTTTGATCTGATTATAGCTAATTAGCTATTACTAGTAGGCATAATTAATGGGTTTAAAAAAATCATCCAAGACCTAACTGGCAAACACCAAAGTTTAATTGCCCCTTATGTTCTTTTTTTTCTTTTTTTGGCAGCGAAAACTTTATAAGCTAATAAGGTATTTTATTTTATTATATTTTAATTATCATCTCAATTTCATAAAAGTAGATTTAGATATTTTTTTTTAAAAACAACAACCTTAATTTGACTATGTCATACGATATATATTAATATCTTTATAAGATAAAGCTTGGTTTAGACTTTAAAAGGACGAAACTCAAAACCCTAATTTATATTTGCCTTGCATTAGTCGCCTTTGTAGAAACAATGGTGAATCTTCCGTGGGAATTGATAGAGGAAATACTTTTTAGAGTCCCAGCCACATCTCTCAAACGATTAGGCTCTACTTGCAAACAATGGAACGCTTTATTCGAAAACCAAAGATCACCAAGAAGCACTTTGGTAAAGCTCCAAAGCAATCGATGGTTCTCTTGTTGAATGATTTGAGGGTTTATCCAATAAACGTCAATCTCAACGATACCGGTCCATCCATCGAGTTTAAGAGTGCACTTAGCTTTAAGGATTCAGATTCTAACTCAGAAGAAATCGATATAACCGGAGTTTTTCATTGCGATGGTTTGTTGTTATGCACTACAGATGATAATAGACTCGTGGTTTGGAACCCGTGTTTGAGAGAAACCAGGTGGATCAACTTCAAAAATGTTTACAGAATAATCTCTCGCTTTGCATTAGGATACCAAAATAACAAATCTTTCCGTAGCTACAAAATCTTAAGGTTTTGGAGATTTGATTTGACACCAAGCCTGCTTTCTGGATCTGAAATCTATGAGTTTACCTCTAATTCATGGAAGGTTCTTCCTGATAACCTAGCTCCTAAGCATTCCATATTATCTGGTATTGGTGTGTCTTCGAAGGGAAATACTTACTGGCTTGTTTCTGATAAAGGAACAGAATTTATACTCAGTTTTGATTTTACAACGGAGAGATTTAAACATTTTAGTCTTCCCGCAACTCTTAATTTTTGTATGATGGTCCTATCAGTTGTTAGAGACGAAGAACTCTCAATAGTGTCACATCATAAGTTTGGTAAACCGGAGAAGGATATTTGGATAGCCAAGAGAAATGATAGTGAAGCCGCCTTGTCCTGGAAGAAATCATGTACTGTTGAGTTCAAACCCTATAGTAATTGTTTTATCAATCGGTATTGCCACAGTTTTGTGATGGATGAGGAGAAGAATGTTGTTGTTGGGTATTGTTGGGTATGCATTATGCGAGAGGACAATGCGTATAACATAGAAGTCCCTTTTGTAGAATCTACAAGTTGGCTATGTCATCCATTTATTTTCAATTATGTTCCAAGTTTGGTTCAAATTCAGTAATGTAGGTGCAATAGAAAAACTAAGTGCACCTCTTTCTTCTCTTTGGTTTGATTAATTTAATGAATAAATTTGTTTATTTCTCTTTTCTTTGAAGTTGTATGTTCTTGCTTCAGATGACCTAAACGTTTGTGTCTTCCCCTACTAATGTTGATCTTGATATGGTGAAGCTGTGGAGCAAGTCCTATTCGGTGGACATAACTATAATTAGTGATGTTCTTGGTGTTACAATTCTTTAGTTTTCTACTTTTCTTTGACAATTAATATGGTTGGAATAATAAAATGAAGAATTGATAAATTATTTTAGTCAATTTATCAATCCTTTATCTATTTGCTTTGGTTTAACCAATCTACGAATTCGTATACTATTTCAGATATCAGAGCACCTTTGAAAATATCATTATGTAAATTAGGGTTACAGATTTACAATATCACTAAACCTAAAAAGAAATAATTCTAATTTATTGATAAAGATTGTGGCATTGCATTATCGATATACTATTCCATAGGATCTTAGTCTAACGATTAAGCCATAAAATAATTCATTAATATATATATATATATATAGGCGATAAATTGAAAGACAAATCCACACAAAAATATAAAAATCTTATGATAAAAAAAAAGTGTGGTTTACAAATTAAGCTCTGAGCTAGTAGTCCCTATCAAATTGGGTTCGATCTTTGCTCGACGGCGACATACAAACCATGCATAACACAACACCAACATGATGATGATGACTAATGCACTGCCATAGATTGAAATAACTTTGATGAGAGTAGTGTCCATATTGGCTTTTCACCACACACACCAAATTTTTAATTCTTTTGTCTTCAACTTTCTTTTTCTAGTTCCTACTAGTATATTTATACACGTATATATAGTCAACACAAAAATTTACATTTATGTAAACAATGGTGAAATTTGTAAGTTTTACATTTCATAAAGAATATTAACTAGAAAAAGTTTGGACAATGTATATTTAGTCATTAAGGAAACATTAACTATACGAAAAAGAGAAGTTTTACATTTAATGGTATTTTGTTGATTGTCATACTCGTTGCACATAGACCAATATTGTTGAAGAACAACCTAACCATCTTAATGACATCTGCACACACTATATCATCCCATCCAATTTTGTTAGAAACGTTCCGACTTGGACCCGATGTTACGCACAGCTTTGTGTATCTATGCACCTACCTAAAGATACTAGACTGTCGTGTCCTACTGAATACATGTAAGTAGCAGTAACTACACATAAATACAAGCATTTTACAATAACGAGAGCATAGACGACCGTGGAGGAAAGGGTTTGGTAAAGTATGTATATAAACTAGATAAGTTAATACCATCGCCAAAGTTTCAGTAATGTTTGGCCCAACAACAAATGAAAATTACCAAATGTTTACTCTCGGATCAAAGCCATTCTCTCTAGTTTGTCCTATCAAAAAAAAAAAAGATCTTATTTAAAAAAAAAGAAAAATCAAACCTTAGCAAAAAGATGAGTTTCAACAAAGAAGATGGATTGTGAATGCAAAAAACACCAAAATCTAAAGCCAACTTAGCTTTGTTAACAACGTAACAAGAAGCCAAAGATGTAAGAAGACTAAACTAGTCATTCTTTTAGTTCTTCTCTTTGACCGGGAGGAACAGGTACCAAACTCGGAATAAATGAACAGTGCAAAGGATATGGTTCAACCACATGATCGATACGAGTTTTACTGATCAACCTATTTTTCCTGAAAACATAGATACAAGCCCGACAAGTTTGGTCGCAAGAGCATACGACGAGTCTTTCATCTTGGATGAAGTAGCTTGGCTGAGACATTAAAGTGTCTACCAAATTGGCTAAGTTAGGACTTGAAACTTCCATGAACTTTATCCATTCCACAACTTCACTATCCAAACTATTATTAATCTTGTACTTACTCACCCAAACCTCAATCTTTTTTGTTTCATGGCATTGCTTTAACAATGAAAACCGATCTTCCTCAAAAGCTCTAAGGACAAGAGCATCCATATAATGGTTCTTCGTTCCACATGGTAGATCACAGAATCTGTAGGAATATCCGGTGGAGAAATCGAATTTATCGACGCTGTAAACGCGAATGGCCTTATCAACATAAACAATCCAATACAAAGTTCCATTCAATGATACACAGCCATTATTTTTGTGTAACTTGTTCATTTTGTCTACGTCTCTATTACCACTTATCCCACACTCTTTCCACGCATTGGAGGAAAGCTCATGGACTTTCCACAAGGACAAGGTTTTATCTTCCTTCCCAGGACAAGCAGCAACAATCTTGTAACTCCCACTACAGTTGTATCCTACGCCAAGGGGTACAAGTCGAGTTTGGTCCGAATCCGGCTCGATCCATCTACTTTGTCTCAAGCATGGGTTCCAAACTAGAGCTCCTCTCTCCATGCCGCAAACCAATAACTTATCGCAACCAACCAAGATTTTAGGTATCTTGGATTCTAAAGATGGAACATCTAAGGTTAACTCACACACATCTATCTTTGGATCGATGCTTACCGAGTAAATCTTGGATTTGGTTGTTAAGATGAATTGAAACGTGGTCTTGTGGTTCTTGATGAACGTTTTGTCGTGTAAGAGAGCGTTCCATTGTTTCGATACGGCTGTGAAGCGAACAAGAGATGAGTGTGGTACACGAGATAGTATCTCTTCAGTCAACTCCGATGGAAGCTTCTCCTCATGCGCCGCTAAACGTATCCTCATTAGGGTTTCAAGCCGCGATTGTTTCCTTAAGTTAATATGTGTATATATACACTAGGTTTTAACCTGAACAATTTATTTCTAAATAAAAATGTTTATATTTTAAACCTGTATAGATTTGAAATGTAGACCCATAAGAAAAATATAATCATATTTATGTAAACTTATCATATTTATGTACAATATTGTAATTGTTTTAGAGTTAAATTTTGTAATAAAACTTTAATTTTTTGTAGAGTTTAAATATCTAAATATTTTAAATATTTTATAAAGCGTAAATTAGATGTTATAATATTTGAAGCTTTTAAAATATTTAATATTTAAAATATTTAAAAAAATTTTAAAAGTTTAAATTTATAATATTTTGAGACTTCTTAAAAGTTTTAGTTTTCTTAAATAAAGAAACGGATTAAATCGAATAAAAAATTAATTTAGATACCTGAGAAATTAAAATTCCTGCTCAGTTGTAGTTGGGAGAATCCTATTTATAATTGTTTTAAACTATTATCTAAATTTTAAACCTTAAGTAAATATTGTACATACATTTTTTTAGCGATTGAGTAATATATGTCCGTTATTAAAAAAAAATTTGAAAATATGCGGAAAATTTATTATACATATTTTTTATGTAATAATATAAATTAAAAAGGTAAGATTATATAAATATATTGGAGAGATTCAATTTATTAGGGAGAGATTTTAAGAAATTGTTTTAATGTAACAAATATTTGTTTCCAATTTTGGGATTTGCTTTTGATTTAATTACAAATTTTACTTTTAAGTTCTGTTATTTATTCAAATGTCATGATTTAATTATGCAAACATTACAAAATAAAAAATTATAACTCAAAATAGATTTTAGTACAAAATGTATTTCAAAAATGTATATATAGATAAAAACTCAAGATCTCCAAATATCTGAGTTTTACGTTAATTTGTTACCTTTGGATATTCACATTGAGAATCACAACTAAGATATTGTTTTACTTACATCTGTGTTTCTAATTTTATATTTTAAGTTTTATAAATTGTAATGCTATGATAGTCATCTCTCTTAGTGGATCCGAGGTCTAAATCCTGGCCTATGGATCCACCTCTCTTAGTGCCATATGGTTATATTTTTGAATAAGTCAAATTAACTTGAGAAATTAGTAAAGGTAAAAATCAGGAAGAAGTCTTTGGTAGCTCATATAAGTCTACTAGTTATCATATACATTAATCAGATGGGTAGACTTTGAAGTTGTCAATCTAAACCTTTGCTTTATTCTTCAAACCACGCGTTTCAAAATATGATTTCTAGGATGTGTTCGGTTCTTTTCTCTCAAAATAATATCATAAAACTACTACAAGAACTTGCTTTCGTATTCGTAAAACAGTTTTGCGTGTTTTTGTATATTAATATTCAATAATATAAATGAAACAATTAAAAAAATATATATCGGACCATGAAAGAGGAAACTTTTTGATTTAAACTTTGATGTTGACAACGTAAATTCCATGTTTTGTTTCAATATATTTGTATAGTTTTCTAACTTATTTGTCGATACATTGATCTGAACCTTTCTATGATACAAATACAATGTGTAGTATAGATGAGGCCCTCAGAGAAGTGGATAAATCAGAAAGCGCATTATTATTGGTGGTATCTTAGCTAAATATATAAGATCTTTTTCTTCATATATTTTAGTCTAAGATTTGGCTAAAATACTACCAATAATTGTGGTCTCGGACATTCGACGAAGTAATGCACGTAAACTCTTAATGAAGCCATGCACGTGAACTCTTAATGAAGTTATTCGTGCACGTAACAAGAAATCAGTACTAATTACTCTGGAGATCAAAATACGAATTACACTTTCTTTTGATCACAAAAATATAAAAGGGTTCATATTATAGATACGGTTATAGTTGTGAAAATCTAAAACGACAACTATTATCAAACAAAATTTTAACTCTAGAACGACAACTACAAAGGGAGTAGAGAAATAACGACGAAGTCATTGAATGTAAGTTAAATTTACTTTAATTTAGAGAAAAACCAGGGCAAGAGGTAGATAATCAAAATTATAAATCACCATAACATCAATATTTAAAATCACAAGTTGTATTTAATCACCAGAACTGACTAATGTTAACCATTTCAGTGAAAGAGAAGTCGGAAAGAAACTTCTCTAGTGATTTTAAATTGACAACTTCAACGTCTGCCTAGCTATTAAAATATGAAATATGGTAAAGTGTAGTTATCAAAGACAGATTCATCTCTAATTTTTCCTTTAGACAAAATGTGAAGCTCATTTGATTTATTAAACAATATAACACTAATTGCTCTAAGAAACGTTCATAAACTTCAATAAATAAATATTCTAGTTGTCGTACTGAATCCTATATAAACTGCTTCATTTCTATTACAATCTATTCAAAAATAATTCAACATAAGAACATAAACCAAACTAACAAAAGCTGAGATAAAGGCAAGAGCACACAAGTTCAATAGATATGGCCAATTCTAATCATTGGTCATCTTTACTTGTGTTGGTCTTGGCCTTGCATGTAGCTGCTGCTCATACAAGTGCCCAGTACACATACACTCCACCATCATCACCACCGTATGTTTACAAATCTCCTCCAATACCTCCATATGTCTATAGCTCTCCACCACCACCTCCTTATGTCTATAGCTCTCCACCACCTCCGCCATATGTTTACAAGTCTCCACCACCACCACCCTATGTCTACAGGTCTCCACCCCCACCTCCATATGTTTACAAGTCTCCCCCTCCTCCTCCATACGTCTACAGCTCTCCACCACCTCCTCCTTATGTTTACAAGTCTCCCCCTCCTCCTCCATACGTCTACAGCTCTCCACCGCCTCCTCCATATGTTTACAAGTCTCCCCCTCCTCCTCCATACGTCTACAGCTCTCCACTACCTCCTCCTTATGTTTACAAGTCTCCCCCTCCTCCTCCCTATCCATACGTCTACAGCTCTCCACCACCTCCTCCATATGTTTACAAGTCTCCCCCTCCTCCTCCATACGTCTACAGCTCTCCACCACCTCCTCCATATGTTTACAAGTCTCCCCCTCCTCCTCCATACGTCTACAGCTCTCCACTACCTCCTCCTTATGTTTACAAGTCTCCCCCTCCTCCTCCATACGTCTACAGCTCTCCACCACCTCCTCCATATGTTTACAAGTCTCCCCCTCCTCCTCCATACGTCTACAGCTCTCCACTACCTCCTCCTTATG